CAGACTTGATGGGCTTTCTGCCCGGCCCAAGGACATGCGACATCATGATGACCAAAACCATTCGATTCGACTGCATATGGTCGGGTAAATTAATGGCTTTTTGCCGCAGTCAGGGCCTGTCCCTATCGTAAAAGTAGTCCATTTTTGGGATTTAAATGGAAATGAACGCACACGTGTAGGCGCCCCCCATGAAAAAGAAAACAAATAATAATAACAGATTGGTGAAAAATTGTTAATTGTTTACCAATACATGTAAAATTATTCAATACTCTTTGTACTAATTGTTGATGTACATATTCATATATGAAGCAATCCACATCGAAATTCTCTGTAGAAAATCACACCTATTTCGGTGCGGATATAAGAAATTATCGACTTGACAACCAATATGGGTTAAATATCATTTTTATGCATTTTATTTATGGGGCTTAAGTGCTTTAATTTCGCCGATAAAACACGTGAACAATCTGAGGAGGGGAGGGGAGGGTTGCAATCCGTAACTGAGGGCAAAAACTTTATTTAAATATACATATGTTTATTTTGAATTTGTTTCGAGATGCGGCCAGTGAACGTCAAACTGTGACGTCACAATCAGACGAGTTGAGAGTCAGCAAGTTGAGAGACAAAAGCTGTTTAAAAGCGGTGTGAAAAACCGGCTTTAACATAGACTGGCTCACTCCGATCACTTCTTTGTGCTGGCCTGGGAATCACTCGGATTCGTCTTTATCTCTGGCCAAGTGTTATTCATGTTGTTTTGCGATCAATCCAGATCACGTGCCCTGTGAGTCCCCCAACGATGGTCGCCAGACCAGCCTTCAAGCTTCCAGCCTCCAGATCTCAACAGTTGGTCAGTTGGAGTGAATAACTCCGCTCCCTGGGCCTGGGGCATAAACATTTATATTCCGCTGGCACTTTGTTCTCCGGTGATTTTTATTTCAGAGTATCGTTCTAACGCCCCGTTTACTCATGCCACCGCCAGTTTATTTCAGTGGCTTCGAATTCCCGCCGAGTCATTCGAAATGAGCAAATTCTCCAGCCAGTGCAAAAATGCGTTCCCAGCTCAAGAGTTCAAATACTCAGATACTCAGAAACATGGATATTCGAACAGAATAGAAAACAAGTACTTGCAATGTACTTGTGTCTTTCAATTAATGTTTAAAATAGGGCCAACTTAACGAAAGATAAGCAAATAATATATATATAATCTTGACTAACAAATAAACAGAAAATTAACACAGAATATTAAAAATTATGAATAATATATTAAGTTTTTAAGAACCGTAAAGTTCTTGTTCTCAATTCATATACAAGGACAGCTTGCACTGAAAAATAAAATGATAGGCCTGTAAATTATTTTGGTTGTAAAAATTGTTCATATGACATTGAAGGCATTTAAGAGAACTTATAAATTTAATATATCATATAAATTAAATAAACATGATGTAGTTATTTCAGATTCAAGGCTGAAAGGGAAAAAATATTTGCTATATTTATCAATATTTTCAGATGACAATTCTTTTGACAAATAAAAGTTTAAAATACTCATAACTAAGTCAAAAATGCATTAATTTTGATTCGGAAATCACTCCTTTGCTAGTTTTTATTAAGATAATAAATCTGCATACTCAATTTAAAATTTAAAAAAAAATCAATTTTTTACCAAATTTGGACAATTTTAACAATGTAACCCCTTATAAAAATTTGAAAATTTTGAAAAACTTGAACAATTTTATTTCTCAACCGGACATAGCTAGATCGTTTCAGTTCTTGATTCTGATCAATAATATATATGAATTATAGTGTCGGAAATAACTTCTTCACTGATTTACAAGTTTCTTAGTATCCGTATAATACCTAGCAAGAGTATAAAAATCAAAAATTAAATCCATTTAAGAGTAGTTTAGTGCACATGCACAATTAAATTAACAAATAAACAAATTTTAGGATTATATATAGAAATAAATCATGCCTGAACGGCGAAATGACTTTGATCTGCACTGTCAGATCTTGTGTATATTGTCTACCTCGTGAAATAAATCAAATTCTTAGAATCAGAGAGTCTGCACGCGAACGGAAGCTCTCACTTTGAGAACAAAGTGAATTCTACTGCGTTTCCCTTTAAATTCGAATCTCGAGCATACGAACAATCGGTGCCGGTGCCCATATGGGTATTATCAACAGTTGCACTCGTATTTGATCAAGTGCGAATTGCCTTTTGTGTTTCACTATCAATAAATAATCAAAGAAACTAACAAAGCCTCGCTTCCGTCCACAGATAGTCGCTTGGGAAATGAGAATTCCACCTTGATATCATTTTAAATTTGTATTTTCATTTGATTTTGATTTGGATTCCCTTCCAACTCATATTATCATCATGAACCGGCTGGTGAGGCGTTAAAACGAGCGTGAAATTCACACCCCTTAAATGCCGCTAAAAGATCGCTTTCACACTTTAAAATGCCATAGATAATGTCTACAGCGAGAGATCTTTAGATCGGGCCAAAGCAAATATATATTAGTTAGGCTCTTTATTGACTCAGCGTCACACGCCGCAGATAGATGGATGGATCGCTTTTCTGGCTGATAGTTTGGCGCTTGGGGATCATATTGCCACATGATCGATGGCTGGCGGACGTTGATCGAGCTTTGAACGAGGAAATTAGGGGGCGGATGTGTACTTTGGTAGGGTATTGGTTTAAAAGAAATTCTAAAACAATTCTCTATAGAATTTTTGAACTAAAACTGAACCAAGAAAAAAGCAATAAACAAAATCTACGCAAATTCTGGGTCAACATAATTAATGCAATTATCGAGACAAAGCGCTTTAAATATAGCTTTCAAGTATAATTAGAAAAATCAGTTTACTCTAATCTTTAAAAAGCACTTGAAATAATGGAATTATATACCTCACAATAAAGACAAAGAACTCAGCCGGCAGTCTATAATTAAATTTTAATAAAAGCATTGCATAATTAAATTTCATAAATCCTCTGGCGATAATCGCAATAATAATTCACCCCCCGAGTTGATTCTGCGGGCAAATCAGCAATTAAATGCGCCATTCTTTATCGGCAATCATTCATTTCGCATCTTCTGGCATTTTCACGACTCGTTGGTGAGCATCCCAGCTATTAATATATAAAAAATATATAGATATCTCTGGGCACAAAAGTAGGGCATGCAAATGCCTCTCAGGCCTGACGCGAAAAAATAAAAACGACAGAAGAAAATGTTGATTTTCTGCTGATTTTTCTCTGCCTCCGGTCGCGTGTTCACGAAAAACGATGCTACTCGTGTTTTCCATAGAATTTGGATTATGATGAAATGCAGTGAGAAAAATTAGAGAATACTAAAATACTAAAAATCAACTACCTTAAGATATCAGATTTGTAATATTTGTTCTTTAAACCTACCCAAAGTATTTGTTAAATGTCTATACTACAGTATTTTAATTCATTAAGCTATCTTACGAAAATGAAGCTAAGTTTAAGGATTATAATAATATATTTTTGGCACTTATTTAATTATTTTATAATATATATAATGTTCTAAAAATAAAGCCTCAACTTCATATAATATCTAATCGTTTTTCTACGTGCTTTTGACTTTTGGATAGATAGTTAGATAGATGCCGAAGAGAATTCGCGATGAGCTCATTAAAGTCGATTCTCCGGTCATGTTGTAAGCGCCTGATCGTTGGATTTTGTGTACCGACTTTGGGTTTTGGAGGGGTTATAATGCGTAGTTAAAAAAACAGTTATAATCAAGGGGGCTTCATGTGAGCCAAGCGTTCGATGATGATGATGATGATAAGTGGGGGTGCGGTTCTATTGGGTTCGGGGTTCGGGGTTCGTTCAGTAATTGCCTATAAGTGGTATCTATGACAGGCGCTGGTGGCCAGTTTCTTGGTGAAATAACTGGATTTGTGCCTTATCACTGAACTACCGATAACGCGTTCCCAGCCCATTATATGCATAGCAGGAGCGTGCCATTTTAAAAAGTAAACGAAACCATTACTTTTTCTGACTCATTGTCGAACGAGTTTCGGGGGCTCTAAGCGAATGTGCCGTCTCATTGCGGTCCAGTTTGTATTTGCTTTTAATTTCACAATCAAAACAATAATTATATGAATGCCTTATCTCCCTCAACGATTCTCATTTTCTCCCTCTCATTTCTCAATCTCTCTTTCTCTCTGTGTATTGCAGGTGGCGCCCCATAAAAATGCAATTTTAATGGTCAAGAAAATAGAGCGACGCGGCCGCTGTTGCACATTGGAAATTGTACAGAAGCCCGAAGAAAGAAGAGTAAAATTTACTGGAAATTAAGCGGAAAAAATCGAGTTACAAAAAAACATTGAGAGCTTGCTGTGATGTAATACAGAGCAAAAGTGAAACGCCAAGAAAAAAGTAAAAAGCAACAGAGTTGTAAAAAAAATACAACAAAGATTATATAATTTGCTGCCGCCGAACTAGGACAACACCAACAGCAGTCAGTAGTCGCAGCAACATCTTTAGAAGCAGCAACTAAATCTGGGGAGCAACCAAAGCAACAGCAACTAAACTAGCAACAATTACAGCACAACAGCAACAATTACCCCGCACAGAAACATTTGCAACAATTGTAGTATTAACAATAGCAACAACTAAATCAGCAGACAACTGCAGTAGAAGCAAGAAACAATTTGTTTTTGGCAGCAACAATTGCAGCAGCAAGCGACAGCAGCAACTGTTGCAGCAACAACATTGGCAACATAAATTGTAACAGCAACAGCAACAGCAACAACTGATAAAGACCGGCTGGCAACAGAGAACGATCGCAATTTGCAGCAGCATAATTTCAAAGTCGGAGCGTGGGAATTGCAAATCACAGCAGCAACGCGACGCGACACTCCAACAGCAGCAACAGCAGCAGCAGCAACAGCAACAGCAGCAGCAACAATCACTGCAAGCAGCAACATCGTACGCTGTTGGCTCTCGTCTGCTCTCGTGGCTCTCGCAGCGCTCTTTGCACTCGCTTCGAGAACCGCTGGCGTTGCTCCATCTCGCTCCCTCGAGCGGTAGAGTATATTTGGAGGCGTTGGGGCGCTCGCTCCCGACAGTTGTGCTTGGAACGCTTCGGAGTGAAGATCGTGCTTGTCCGATCGCAGCGCGTGATACACGGCGGAAAATATAAAACAAGAGACCCAAAACTCGGAAGAAACGCGAATCGAAGCGAGTGAGAAAAAAGCAACTGCTTGACAGCTAAAAAGAAATTGTTTTTTACACACATCAATCTCGTCGCACGTAAATTAGCAAGCGTTCGCAAGAAACAAGCCGCCGCACAGATAAATCAGAAATTACAAATAAAAAACACAGAAAACAAATATCAAAAACCGAAATTGGCTGCAAACGAGAGACAGCGGATACACCGAGTGAAATTTGTGTCATAAGCAAAGCCAAAAGGCAGAAAACCAAAAACCCAAAAAAGCGCTAGCAAAAAAACAAAAACATAAAAGCGCCTAAGTGACTGTGAAACTGTGAAGTGATGTGTAAAGCCTGAAGAATGGCCATAGACCTCCTGATCCTGGCCCTGCTGCTCGTCTCGTTCCTGATCAATCTCCTGGCGCTGTGTGCCTTCTGGATCACTCCCGGCCTGCGCACCACCGCCAATCGTTTCACGATCAATCTGCTGGCCATCAATCTCATTGGATGCTGCATCCTTGCCCCCACTCTCTTCCTGGGCCTGCCCTCCAAGTCTGCGGGTCACACAGTGCCAGCGGAATCCCTTGAGTATGTCTCGAAGCCGGGGAACCACCAGGTCACCGTCAGGCGTAATGGCCACGTCGTCGAGCAGGATGCAGTGGTGGTGCGACGCAACATCAGCGACGGCAGCGATACGGTGGATTTCATCAATTGCACCGGCAGCTACTGCCGGGAGCTAACCATCGATGAGCGTCGGGATGGTGGTGTTGTCATCACGGAGACGGAAACCCATGAGGAGAATCTCTCCGCTGCCTTCGAGAGCACTCCCACCTCGGCCCCAGTTCTGCCACCGGTGGAGCTCCGCTGCTGGTCCATAGATATGACCGCAGCTCTGGGAGCCCTGGCTGTGCTCCTCGTGGTGGGTGACACCTGGTGTGCCGTCACCGATCCCCTGCGTTACCACAGTCGGATTTCGGGGGTGAAGACTTGGATCTTCATAGCCCTCACCTGGCTGGTTGGTATGCTCTTCGGGGCCCTATCCTTCCTCCGCGTGCTGGACTTTGAGGCGGACACCGTTCTGAGTCGGCAAAGGCGATTGGCAACTACTTACTTCAACATTAGCACCTCCAGCAATATCTTTGGTGTAGTCTATGCCAGTGTGTACTTCATCGTGATCATCCTGCTGCCCTTTGGCTTCGTGTGTGGAATGTACTGGCGAATCTTTAGTGAGGCTCGCGGCAATGGGTTGCGCATGCGCCAGAATGGATCCTCGCCTCTACTGCAGAGCGCCTTGAACCTCACCGCTGGGCAGCAGGCGGCTCAGACCAATCAGTTCTCCAACAGTTTGTGCGTCCACCGGCACTCCATATCCTCAGCGAGTTCGCATGGCGGCAACAGCACCGTGGGCCTCGGCATTGGACTCGGTGGCCTGCAAATGCAGATCGATCAGCGCCAACAGCCTCGCAGTTCCCCCAGCTGCCTGCGTCGCGACTCGGCGGCCAAGGTTCTGCTGCCCACAATCTCAGATGATGGCGGTTCGGATGCGGATGCGGAGAGTATTGCCGGTGTCCAGCTGATGCCCGTGCAGGAGCACACCCTGTCGGATCGTAACCAGAACATCCTGCTGACCCTGCAAACGGCTAGTGGTGAGATCAAGCGGAACTATTCCGCTCGCCAGCTGCCTTTGCTGGGCACCTCCTCGCAGGATCTGCGGGAGGCCCACCGCCTGCAGGGTATCCGTCAGGTGCACAGCTCACCCAACCTGCACAAGTACACGGAGCTGCGACAGGAGTCGCTGGGCGATGAGAGCGGCTCACCCCATCTCCTGGGTCATGCCCAGCGTCAGCAGCAGCAGCAGTCGCAGCAACAGCACATGCAACATCAGCAGCACCCGCTGCAGCACCATCAGCAGCAGCATCACCCCCACTTCAGCTCGCCCCGCCACCAACAGGGACAACAGGGCCACGCCCTCCAGATTCCCGCCATCCACGCCTCCCCCAAAGCGCTCAGCTACATGAGCTCCCTGCGTCACCGGCTGAGCAACGCCAGCTCGCTGTTCAAGTACCGCGAGGAGTCGCGGGCTGCTCGGATCAGCATCCTGGTGGTGGTCATGTTCGTGGTCTCCTACCTGCCCTTCGGCCTGCTAGTCCTGCTGCAGTCGCGCCTGATGGCAGCTAACTTTGGCGGTTCCTCGCAGCTGGCCATCTTCATGATCCTGCTGGCCAACCTCAGCTCGCCCTTCATCTTCGCCTACCGGAATAAGCGGGTAAGGCGCGGTGTGAAGCGCCTGTTTGGCCTGGACAAGTCGGCAGGTCTGCAGAGGCACTGCAGCAGCAGTGTGAAGACCAACGGCGGAGCTCCAGCTGCTTCCGGCGGAAGTGGAGGAGCACAGTTGCAGCGGAATAGCAGCAAATTGTCGCAGTACAGCAGCAATAGCTGCCGATATCTGACGCCCCAGAGCTCGCTGGTCAGCCAGGTGCCGGTGCACACCACCCTAACCCTGCGGCCCAACAGCAGCTGCAGCACCATCATCAACTTTGGTGCCACCCGGGGATCGGCGGACTCCGATGAGCTGCCACCTCCAACACCACCGCCGCCACCTCATACTGCGACACCCACGCCGCCGCCGCCGTCAAGGCCGCAGCGGCCCAAGTTGCAGCGGGGCATCACCATCGTGGAGCATATCGCCATCACACCCACGACGCCTCACAAGTTCCAGAACCGGCGGGGCCGGCTCTTCGACATGTTCTTCCGCGGCTCCAAGAAGCTGCAGGCGGGCTGCCAGAGCCAGAGCTTGCCCACAGAGGTCTAAGCTAAGAGGACTTAACGTTTAAATATTTATTATGTAAGAGGACACACACTAAACTCGCTTGCTGAAGAATTCTAAGAACAGTATTCGTAATTTGTAAGTGTAGCAATTAGCAAAGACAAGTTCGAATTTGAGCTGTCCCAGAAGCTTCTCATGCCAAAAACAAAAGAAAGTCAGACTCACAAGTTTGAGATGCTTTAACTTAAAAGATAACTAAGCTAAACTATAAACATAAAAAACACTGAGAAAAACACACTAAAAACAAAACAAACAAAATGTACCTTTAGAGCATACAAAGCAAATAGCAACAACTGTGTACAAGTCAAATTAACAAACAAACAGAGGGACGATTATAATATTCTTAGGGTGGATATCAAACTGTAATGTGGAACCAAGCCAAGCCAAGTCGAGATGGAATCAATGTACCTAAGCAACAAAGCATATGAACATTTAATGTTTTTATAGAGAAAGTCCAATTCAATCCAATTCAACTCAACTCAGACAGCACAGTTATCCACAGCTAATTTATTATTTATTTTTAAGGCATTACCACGATACGAGCCTAGTTATTAGAGACACACACAAAAACACCGAAAAGCTTTAACTCCAAAACATTCTGGCTAACCGAGAAGAGACGCAGCAAATACATTCAATTGATAAGTTAATTAATTAATTAAGTAAGTGTGCAAAGCATATGCGTATTCGTATTTTAGCGCCTAAGTAGCCGCGTAGTCCCAAAGTCTTAAATCGAGCACCTAGTGCCGCGCAGTGCTTTTCGAGCCGACCATCTTCCAAAATGGCCCCTCAAGGTCGCATTTTCATATTGAAAAGCGTTAGCCAGTGCAGCGGCCATTGGAAAATTGGTCAGTAAGTCAGTTGGTCAGTCTGCCAGTCAGTCAGTCAGCCAGCCAGCAGTTAGTTAACCATTAAAGTCAATTCGCTTTCGTAGAACCCTGGGCATTGCGTGCAGCTAAATACCTCATTAGATATAATTTAAAGTGCAAGATGGACAGCGGGAATAGGTCAAAAGTCAGAGCCATCATACCACCGGCTCATGCATAATGGATAATGGATTGTGCATACCTGGTATGGTTGAAGTGGCCCTGGCATTTGTCCCCTCCTGACCGCTTCGGGCCAGAAAGCTTTATACCGTATAGGTTCTCCTCAGCGCCCCGCTTTGATTTGCCCCGCTGCACAGATACACACACCACACACCACGCACACCACACACACACCATACAAAACCAACCTCGAATTTATATTTCTAAAGTTTATATTTTATATAGAGCGTGTGCATAGGAAATATCTATAAATATGTGTGCATGTGTGTCGGTCGGTTGGACAAAGAAAAAGGGAATATTTCAAAACCAATTATTGTGATGTCGAGCAAGGCAGGCGGGCGAAAGAATGTAATTTCGAAATGCATTAAAAATAACTTAAAACATGTATTAATAGTTATACCGTATATATATACAGACACACTTTTACATGCTTATATATTATATATGTATACATTATACCTTTACTAAATAGTGATATTTTCTCAAAACTTACTCAACTGTCATTCGCTAAAACCATTCGATGTAAACGCAAGGCAAATGTAAAACCAAAAAACCAAGTTCAATGTGACAAATTAGCTTTTAATCTGAAACTGATGAATGTGAAAAAAAGAAGTAAAATTAAAATACAAAACCGAAAATGCAGCAAACATACTATATATATTGAAAAAATTAACAGCCACCATTGGCGGTGGCTACTGCAAGTCTAATCCGGTATTTTCTAGCTGTGCTGCTAATAAATTCGAAAACGAAACCACACACACAACAAACCACACGAAAAGAGCAAGAAACTATTCAAATAAAAGATTATGTGTCTTTAAAGAATTAATTATCACGACTTTTTCTCCGTTCCTCATGGGGGCAGTTCAATTGGGTGCCCGAAAGCGTTTCAAATTTACCCACGCCGATCTCACACCGAGGTTGGCCCAAAGAGTTCTCTATGCCATTTTCCACAGCATTCGCAAAAAGTTGTTGAGTGAATTTATCGATCCAACCTGCTGCCAACTTCCCCGCCAAGAGCCCTAGAACACGAACAAACACTTAACCAGCGCAAGTTCAGCATTTCATTCAGGCCATGCCCGTATTAATTGATTCATAAACCGAAACGAAATGAAACGAATCGACAGAAAAAATATTACACTTATTATACCCTTGCAGGGTATTATAATTTCAGTCAGAAGTTTGCAACGCAGTGAAGGAGGCACCTCCGATTATATAAAGTATATATATTCTTGATCAGGATCAACAGCCGAGTCGATCTAGCCATGTCCGTCTGTCCGTCTGTCCGTCTGTCCGTCTGTCCTTCTGTCCGTCTGTCCGTCTGTCCGTCTGTCCGTCTGTCCGTTTCTACGCAAACTAGTCTCTCAGTTTTGAAGCTATCTGAATGAAACTTTGTAGTTAGCCTTCTATATACTCTCACTCGTATATATGTCGGAACGGGCCGGATCGGACGACTATATCATATAGCTGCCATAGGAATGATCGGAAAATTTTTACAAAAAAATTTTTAACTTTTTCAGTTTTCAATAGAATTTGATCAAATTTGAGATATAGCCATTTTACTATACTCTACAATTTTGCATAGAATTTTATGAAAATCGGACTACTATATCGTATAGCTCCCATAGGAACGATTGAGAAATTAATACAATTAAAAATTATAACTTTTTCGGTTTTCAACAGATTTTCATAAAATTTGAGGTATAGCCATTTTATATTAGTCTTTAAATTTAGTGCCAACTTTCATGAAAATCGGACGACTATATCATATAGGTGCCATACAAGCGATCGTTTGATGTAGAGGAAAAATGCAAATCTGTGAATGTAAAACTGCAAATATAATATGTATAGGTGAATGAAATGATAGCAGGTATTACTTCATTGTTTTTTAACACAAATATATATAATTTTTATTGTATGGATTCCTATTCATAGAAGTTCTATCTGCAAGGGTATATAAACTTCGGCGTGCCGAGGTTAGCTTCCTTTCTTGTTTTTTGTTGTATTTATACATATTGTGCTGATTGTGGCAAACGCGTGTTTCATTTCAAAGTGGAACCGAATGGTACAAGCTCAGTAGATTTTACACAGAGGGAAATCTATGAGAATAAATATCATCACAAAACTATAGATAAGAAGTATATATTTCATTCTAATCTCTTTGGAAAGGCTGTTATATCTTATTTGAAATTAGTAAATATGCATTTTAGAATAATGTGTTATATATTCATTGCACTTTAATATATAATTCTGACAGCTTAAATATTTAATATTCAGTTGCATGATATTTATTTATTTCTAGCAACCTAGACTCTTATTCAACCTTTCTTTCCTATTTTCTGAGGCCTTATTTCTTTCTGTGCATAACCCATTCGCTTGTCAAATTGCAGGGTAGAGAGAGAGAGAGTAGCGGCATGAAGGTGTCAAGATGTCTTCTGTATATGGAAGTCGGTGATTGGTACGAGTACGGGTTTGCTACTTAGAACCCAAAACCACTAAGATCAAATACTTGGTCAAAACCGAACCAATTTGGCCGGCATTAGAGGATTTGGCCCGGTGGCATGGGCGTTGCAGGCCGAGAGGGGGTTATGTGACTAATCATTTGGCACCGGGTGCAAATATCAAAGAGCTAAAGGCTTACCTCAACACCTGACTCACACTCACTCCCGGCGCGGGCAAGTCCACCCAAGACATCGGTTTGGACATGCGATAAGTGCGGCTGGTATTCCATATAGAAACGCTAATTTTTGCAGCAATGCGACGAAGATGACAACGGAACGTCTGTTTGGTATTTCAGCAGAAAAATGTGGCACATAAACAGAGTCAAAATCAAAAGCGAACCAGAAGCGGAGACAGAAACCGAAGCCGAGACCAAGTGAGTATCTAGCGGATGCGTCGCTGTCCCTCAGCAAATCGGTCACCGAGAGCGTCGCACTTATTTATTTATTTTATGATTCACTGTGCGTCTCTCACACTCTGTGGTGCGTTTAATATGCCCCGGTGGGGCCTCTGACATTTCTACACATCATACGGCATAAAAAAGTCTTCTGTTGTTTGCCAATTGCGGTCCGAAAATAGAATATCCAGTTTTAAACGCCCTGACTGACAGCGGTGTGAACAAATTGACTAAAATATCGCAGATTGAATTAGCATACATCTATACATAGCATTTTTTTCTCAATTTAATTAGGCACACGGTCTTTCTTGTGTGAAACATGAAACCTGAAACTCATAACCCTCGCTCTTACATCCACTAAACTAGTCGCTTAGGTAAGATAATTGAGAAGCGCCGAGGAGGGCCCTTGACTTGAATTGATGAAAAGCGAATAGAAGAGCTCTCAAAATACTCGACTGAACCAACACACTAATTGAAATTAAAAGCTCTCCGGCCAATATTGCATAAATTAAATAAACAGTTTCTACATTTGTGCTAAAAATAAGCACGCTCGTTAAATCAACTAATTTTACTTCATCTGGGGTTAAGCCCACCAAACATTACCGAATATGTCAACTTGCTTCCGTGGTGCGAAGCCATAAAAATATTAATTTGAATAGCTGCATAATTAAATAAAAATTAAAAAACATTAAAAAACCATTTTTGAATCGCAAAACTGGCTGAGTAAGAAAACAGAGAGAAATAATAATAAAAAGAATGCCAAAAGTCATTAGAACAAATTTTGGCAGTTGGTTGGCACAGAGGCACAGATTTCGACGTTTTCCTATGTGTTTCCTTCTCTGTTTTTCACACAGCACAAGTTCTCTGGCTGTGCAAACAAGAAACGAATAAATTGGATTTAAACGCTAAGAACTGTCGAAAATCAGGTGAGGAGCAGAGTATGTATATGGTGTGGGCGGACAAGCTGCTGTCATCTTAAGCAAATTTGTCGATTAGGCAAGAGGAAATAAAAATTTTTCGACTGCGACATATTGCTGTTTTTTTCCCCTCACAAATCCCAATCTGCCAATATGACACGTCAGTGTGGTGAATGGAAAACTAACAACTGATGGGAAGATAATCTAAACGCTGTGTCAATGAACCTCACGGAAGTTATAGGTGTTCGACAAGAATTAAATAGCAATCAAGCACCGATGCGGCCTGTTTTGTGTCATAAATCTAAGCGTTTTCGGATTTATCCAATTTGCATGTGAACTTGAATGGTCCCCGGGTGCAATGACTCGGCTGCACACCCTTGAGCGGCCAGAATCAACACGGGTGTCTCGGGTCTGGGTCTGATATGGCTCTGAATTTATGTTATGTTCAATTTTGGGATCGCCGCTTTCCGCGAAGCCAGGTGGGATGTATTTATGACAGCTGCAGTCGTGCCATGTGGAGTGCTTTGTTTTTCACGAAACTACTACTGGGCGGGCACATTGGGTCTGCAGACTTAGTCAAAGTCAGGCCACATTATAATATGCAAATATATGACGGACCTTATCAGCCTTGTCTCGTTATCGCTGATGGGGCACTAGAACATCTAACAGCATAATCAAAATGATTTAATATATTTGCTCGTAAACACACACTCTCGGGTTTTTGCACACGAAAACAAAATATAACGTTTTTAATATGAAAATATTGTATCAAATTTTAAACATTGTTTTTAGCATGAAAAATTATGAATTCGATATGGTAAGTACCGTTTACTTTAAGATGTGATAAGGTTTATAAGAGTAAAGCTCATATAAGAGATAAATAACTTTAAAACTTTGTCCTTTACATATGTTTAAGTTTATTAAAAAAATAAAATTATTTAAAAAATAAGTCACAGAAATTTAAGCTTAAGTTTCATCTGACTTAAGTCCTAATTTTCTCTGTGTGTACCTGAGTTTTTGTGTTTTTCTTGAATTTCTACAATAATATTTAAAGTACACGTTGGCGGCAAGAAAGTTTCTTCGTTTCCAGTCTCAGTCCTAGGCCAAGAATCTGGATAACTGTGCCTTTCTCACGCAGCTTACAGTGGCATTATCTTATATACTCCGAATGGGATTTTGTTGGGGGGGAAATGGGCTCATAAATATGCCGTCAGGCTGACTGTCTCTGGATGCGGCTCCCGGCAACGTCTCCGACTTATCTCTGACAGTTAACCCGCTCGCGACTCACGATTCACGAATCACGACTGCCAGTGACGTCACATCAATAGAATCATATATATATATATATATGTATATATATATAGACTTCCAA